TATACCCCCACAAGCCATTATAAATGTTCTGAAATGGAGATGCCAGAGCCAGACCTGAATTTTGAGGAAAAAAATAAGTTGAGAAACAAGAGGAAAAGATGTGGAAGATGAAAAAAAAACAATTTTTAAGACTGATTTGTGATCTGATTTTGCTAATTCACATCATCAGAGATCTTACACACCAAAATGAATGATTTTCACAGTGGCATCTAATAGGAGAAGGCAAACAGTGCTGTGGAAATAGAACAGAGGAAAATGGAGGAAAAGGTTAAGTTGGTGGAGTGGGTGATGAGAAAACAGTACTCTTAGGAGGATTCATACTGTGTGGTGCCACTGCAGGCATGAACCAGAGTAAACTGTATGGGCTTTACCGGAATTACAACAAAGAAGTAAGGAGATAGGAAGCATTATTAACAAAAGAGGTCCAAATGAGAAAAATGACATTAAACATAATTCTACCAACTATGTTTTTCATGTTGATTAACAACTTCTATGCCAGGTTTGATGCTCACAACATGGACCCTTCACACAAAACGCCCAGTGAGCCTGGGGAATTTGTGCAGCAGCTGTCTGAACAGGAGGTACGGACAACTTTCCGAAAGGTGAAGCCACGCAAGGCTGCCGGCACTGATGACATCCCCTCCTGTGTTTTAAAGGATGCAGAGCACAGCTGGCCCCTGTCTTCACTGTAATATTTAACATGTCACTATCCCAGTCTACTGTCCCACTGTGCTTTTAAGAGGACTACTATCTTGCCACTGCCTAAAGCAACCAAGGTGTCATGTTACAATTGTGCGAGGCAGGCTAGTGGTCAAGATGACGGATCTAGGCCTCATGAACTCCATCTGCAACCTGGTCCTGACAGGCAGACCCCAAGTGATGAGGATTGGAAACAAAATCTCATCCCCTCTGATCCTCAATATAGGGGCCCCCAATGGCTGCTGCCTGAGCCCACGCCAATATTCTCTATTCACACATGACTTTGTGGCTAGATTTAACAGCAACCACATCATGAAGTTTGCTGATGACACCACAGTAATCTGTTTTATCAGCAACAGTGATGAATCCACCTACAGGAGTGAGGTAGCAGAGATAGTGGAGTGGTGCCACAACAACAACCTCACACTTAACATCAGCAAAACAAAAGCGATTATTGAGGACTTCAGGAAGCATGGTGGATATCACACACCCATCATCGTTCCAGTTGGAACTGTCAGCACCTTTAGGTTCCTTGGCCTCCAGATCACTGGGAGGCTGAGCTGGTCAGAGAACACTGCTGCCATCCTCACTAAAGCCCACCACCTTCACTTC